AAGTCCTATTCTGAAACTAGTCCGCTTCAGTGTAGGCTATATTATTATGAATACTCTTAATATCTGATGACACTAGGCCTGATGACGTTAGAACTATCAAATCTGGGAAAGGTCTCCTTCTCGTTTTTAGGACAACAGGGAGGTTTCTCCTTCTTGTATCTGACTGACAGTTGAGAGAGACTTCCCTGTGTTACAAAACAGAAATAATAATGCTAGTGTCATCTGTAGTCTGAAGGGATTTTTCTTCCGTGATGGGATCTCAGCAGCTTGTTAAAGACAGTTAACTCTTGCGGGAGATGGGATAGAAATGTCCTTTAATGAAGAATTAATTTGGAACTTCTTGGCATGATACTTCCTGCAATTTTCAGTAGGTATGTTTTAGAAGTGCATCATCTATTTTTTGACAAAAAAACTTGCTATCTTGTTGGATGTTATCCTAGCCAGCAGAAAGCTCATCTAATGCCTTCTTGGAACTACTTACCATTATCTTCTGCTGTGAAAGCTGTAAGGGTTTTTGCTGATAATATTTGTGGTATTCAGGAGATCTAAAGAAAGGATGAGTCATTATATTACAAGGAAGTTTTTCAAATGGTGAATGCAGAGAAGATAGTTCTGTTAGTAGCATGGGACGCTGATAACCTGCGTTGCCAGTGGAGGTGGTATTGCTGTTATGAGGTCTTTCTTTATTGCATTGAGGGCATACATGCAGCATTTTTCTCCTAGTGAAGGAAGTTGAATTTTTTTCATTATTAGTTATTTCTGATTAAATTCTTCCTATTTTGCAAGGTAAAATAAAATCGGAATATACAACACTTAGCATCTTTTGTTCCTTCAGATAAGTTGCACATAAGCAGCACGTCTTTCTTGGTCTTCTCAGAACAAGTCACTGGCAACATTTAACATGCTAAAATGAAGATAAGCCAAGTGATAGAGTAATTTTAAAAAACAGATGATTTTAAAAAACAGTGAGGGAGATGATGAGGTTTCCTTAGACTAACTTCCAGAATTTATTTCCCCTTGTTTACATCTATCACTAAATACAGATAGCAAATACTTCAGCTGGTAAGTAAGAGGAAGTAAAATCAGTCCCCAGTGAAGATAATGACGCTGGTACACACTTCAAGAAACAAGTAATGTGTCTTGTGGATTTGTTCAGTAGATATTAACTTGCTTAACGCTTTTTTTAATGCTTTTACCATTATGCAGTGTAAGCCAAATAGATGTGAGCTGTAAAAACAGCTGCAAAAAATGTTTCTAATGACCCTAGAAAGTCTTTATCTTTGGAAAGAGCCCCCTTGGGTATATTATATGCTCAAAAAAGCAAATAGCCTTTCCCTCCTCCCCCCGAAAATACATATGGCTATGTGTTCAGTCAGAGACTATATATAGGGATTTGGCATAATCTCTAGCCAAATTTTGCTTTCTCTTGATGGCTTTGTATCTTGGAAATGGGCCTCCTGGTCCTTTCAGTCATGTAGGGCCCTGTTTTTTTTTTTTTTTTGTCACTGAGTATTTCTGTTGAAGATGTGAAGGATACTTTGTCTTAAGTATCAAGCTTTGGGGAAAGCTGGACTTCTCTGCCAATACAGAGGATTTTATTTTTAGATTTTTGTCTACCGGTAATTTTTAGCTACCTAGGTTTCCTTTAGCCAATTTTTCGGAAAGATTGTTACAGTCGCACTGGCTTGTGGAGCATCACTTTTCCACAGATGTAATATCTGTGCTGTGTGGTCTTTGAGAGGCGTGTTTTATATGAATGCATATATAAGTTTGCAGTCTACGTATAAATCCATCTAGTGGATTTGTCAATATAATATGGTTTTGTTAAGGCAACAGTTGATTTGTAAACAATCATCAAAGTAGTTGGGTTTTTTCCTCATTTGAGGTTTGTCGTCTTTTTGAGACTCTTCAGCTGCGCGGCCCAACTGTTGTAGGGTCTCTCTATTTAAAAATCATTAGTGTAGCATGGGAGGCTGTGGAGACCTGAAATTTAAAAAGCCCCTTTTCCTCTCCCCACCCCTCCCAAAAGAAAACACCCCAGCAAGAAGAAAACCCAGAACCGTGTCTAGATCTTTTGGTATTGGGGTCCTGGGAAGCTTACAGCATTTAATTCATCTGCTGATTTTTTTTTTTTTTTTGGGGCATCTGCAGTACTTTTACTGATAGTAAATTGATCAGGAAAGTAAGGACAACGAAGCTTTTGTTATATTTGTTCTTTAGCTGCTTCTTTCCAAATGCTAGGTGTTTAAAAACAGTGGAGGAGTATTCTTCATTGGTTAATCTCATCAGACACTGGTTTGGTAAATACATTTTTGCCTCTCAAGAGAATGGAGAGTTTTAAACTTCCAAGTAGGATGCTTGGCTTTACCTTTGGAGCCCTGGAAACGAGGGTTTGTCACTGGGCTATCTAACGGTCAGTTGCTTTATGCTAGGAGTCAAACGTTTATATGGTTAGCAAAAGAACTCTGTGCTGTGAGTTACTGTGAGGAAGATTTGAGAATGAATAACAGTGGACTGGAATAGCTTTATTCTTTATTTCAGATTTCGACCTATAAAAGGAAGGCAAGAAGAACTAAAAGAGGTGATTGAACGTTTTAAGAAAGATGAGCACTTAGAAAAAGCCTTCAAGTCCTTGACGTCAGGTGACTGGGCCCGGCACTATTTTCTTAACAAGAACAAAATGCAGGAAAGGTTGTTCAAGGAACATGTAGGTGTATTTGTAATTCATGTGCTTTTTCAGATGGTTGAAAGGCTAAGAAAATGTGTTAACAAGTTTGTTAGGAATGCAGCAGTAGTGAAGGAAAGCAGTCCACTGCTCTGTTATACCTTGTTTGATTGCTTTTTAACAGGAACTTTCTTTTGTTTTTTTCAAACCCCGATAGCTCAAAAAGAGGAGGGAAGACAAAGCTAACTTTCCATTGCCTTTGATTTAATAGGCACATGTAGAAAGGAAAACGTGGGCTCTCCTGCTGTGGGCATAAGTCATAAACAGAAGAGAGAATCCCTGCTTCTGGGAGACGAAAGAGTTTTGAGGACTTATTTCAGTCTTTGGCAGATTTTTTTTTTTTCTTTCATCTACAACTATTGTAGATCAAATTTGAGGCCAAAGAAAGACAAAGGAAAAGCAAGAAACCTCATCACCTTAAAATACAGGGGTTGTTTTTGGTACAGGGCTTTTATGTGGGAATACTGTTTCCTCTTCTTCCACTTACCACGCTCCCAAACCCATTTTGTATGTAGTAAAGGATATTGACACTCAAAAGTTGCAAGGAAACCTTTAGCCTTTTTTACTTTGAAACAAAAGTTCTCTTCAGGAGTGAGTATAACTTTTTTAAGCTGTTTTTAGATACAACCAAAAGGAATTTGGCCTTTTCCTGCTCTAAAACACAACAGAAGTAGCAGTCTAGAAGAAACTAGACAGCAAATTCTGCTTTCCCAAAGTGTTTGAGTACTGTAGGCTCACTTTGACTAAAGCTGCCAAAAGGAACAACTTTGAAGAGAACTGATCAAGCAATCCTCGAATTCAGTAACTGGTCTTCTCCTGGACAGTAATGTCTCACTGAGACCTGGAAAGAATAAAGTCGGACTGCACAAAATTGTTAGGAAGTATAGATCTCAGTGGTTCTTGGAGATCTGAGCAGAATTCTTGAACACAAATATGCAGTGACTTTAAGAAGAAATTACTGATTTTTCATTGATCTGCTCTGCCATTCAAGGCATCTTTAATTTTTTTTTTTAATTTGAGATATTCAGGTGATCCATGCAAACATTCTTGCTAGTCACTTTTAAGAAATAAGACTTTTAATATAATGTGCATAATTAAAACTTGTAATCCAAGAGTCTCAGGAAATTTGGGATGTGCATTTCAGCAAACAACATTTCTTTACAATATCCGTTTCATATGCATTTTTTTCTTTCAAATTAATTGACTTTCATTATCTTTATATAGAAGCATTCCTGACTGCTTTTGTTTTGCTTTTAACAGAGCAGTGCTATTTTCTTTCATTGCAGGTATTTATTTATTTACGAATGTTTGCAACTGACAGTGGGTTTGAGATACTGCCTTGTAACCGGTATTCTTCTGAGCAAAATGGAGCCAAAATTGTTGCAACGAAAGAATGGTAGGTGATGTAATTTACTATTGCCATTTCTGCCAATTGTTTTGGAAGATGTAGGCTAAAAAAAGTGTAACATAGAATTAAAACTTCAACTAGTAAAATGCCAAGTTAAGTTCCATGTTTCTACTTCTAGATGAAATTTGGAGACCTTTTTTTTTTTTTTTTTTTTAAACAAGGTAACACACAATTCGTGTATCTACAAGATGACAATTTATACATTTGGACTTAGCCATACAGTTTTCTGTATACAATTTAGAGTCATCTTGTTTTCTGTCAGATAATTAGTTTGCTCAAATCAATTAGTCATTAGACTCCTGAGAGAAACATCCATGTCAATATTCTGATCATACTGGATTTATTATAGAAGAAATAATTGTGGGTAGAGTGAATCTTTCTCCATTGTGAAACTGAGGAGTTTTGCATTTATATTTTGATTGTGCAAGATAAGCTTCTCCTGGAAACACAGAATCGGAACTCCATGTGTTTCCCCATCTCGTTTTGTCAGGTCTGAGTTTCATGGGATGCATGTCAGAGGCAGTGCCAGCAGACCCCTGAATTAATCCAGATTTTAAAACAAAATCCCCCTTTCCTCCCTTCCTACCCAGCATCGTTTCTGTTACTTGTTTTGCTGTGTAGCCATACACAGTCACAACAGCACCCCTGCGAGGATGATACGCTTTTGTGTGTAGGCTAGGAGTGAGTGGCCGGGCACGTTCGGCTGGCGGTGTTCGAAATCAGCTGGGCTCTTACACTGAGGTTCTGGCCTCAGCGCATGGGAGAGGAAGTTTTAAGAAGGTTGAGGGTTCTGGCTCCTCACAACTGGTGCTGAAAGTTTGGCAATTGAGGAACGCAGTATAATCAGTATTTCCTCTGGATAATTTTTTGGTTTGAATCTTCCCTTTGACTCTTTGGGGAGGGAGCTTTGCATTAGATGTGTTGAAAAATGGAGTGTTTTTTTGTGCTCTTTAACCCACAAAATTTGGAGTGACCTGAGAGAAGCAGGAAGCCTGCTTCAAAGCTCTGTCAATATCTGAAAAACTGTCAGAAGCAAAACTAGCAGTTTTGCGCTTGACAGACTTGACTTCTGCTTTGTGTCCCTTAAGTATGTTCAGAATCTCCATGCTCGTCCTTGTGAGCGTAATCTGACCAGAATTTGGGAATGCATCTCGCCAGTAGAAGCGGTGCCCTCACAGGAATATGGAAGTTGCCCATGTGTGTCTAGGCTGAGCGTTCGGTGCCACTAATCTGACATGTTGCTGTGAATTAAAACAGTTTTTTTAAGGGTTTAGAAATGCATTAGAAAACACTTGCTGTTATTGACAACTTCTTCTTTTGTGAAATATTCCATGGTATACTTTTGAATTTTTGACATGTATGTTCTTATTTTTACTACTCTCTTTACCCTAAAGGAAACGGAATGATAAAATAGAATTACTTGTGGGCTGTATTGCTGAACTATCAGAAATGGAAGAAAACATGCTGCTGAGACATGGAGAGAATGATTTCAGTGTCATGTATTCCACACGGAAAAACTGTGCTCAGCTGTGGCTTGGTCCTGCTGCATTTATCAATCATGGTGAGTAACAAGTAGACGAAGAGTGTCAAATGACACAAGCAGTTCTCTTCAGAAGGATTTTTATATGTGAAATAAACCACACAGTAGTGAAGAGAACATGTCTGACTTTTGTCTGCTGAATATAACTGGTGTGATTTTGGCATACTGGATTAGGGCAGGACATAATCCTGTTGGGAGTTTCCCCACACCAGAACTAATGGGCTATGTACTGGGAAGCTCACCGGTGCCCCTGGGAAGAGACACCTTCTTCCTTCACAGAGGCTTTGGAACTGGCAGCTGAAGTAGTGGAGCGTATTGCAGCCTGCCTTGAATTTCTGCTGTAGCTAATTAGTGAACTTAGTCTGTAGTACTGTATGTCTTAGATGAGCTCGTTGTGCATTCGTTCACTTTTTACACAGAAATTTCTTGGATTCTGTTGCATTTTTAAGCTCAAGAAAAAACAGGTAGGATTTAAGATAAATCCTGTTACCTTAAGGAAAAGGGAAATTGAACATTTGTAATAGCAAAGGAGAGCTCAGAAACCAAACTATATCAAAACAGGCATCTTCTGATATGCAGCTTTACATGATACTAACAAAACTCCCGGTATTTAGTTGAGATTCTAGAGTTACTGAAGTCAGAGTGCATCCTTACTTTAGATATCTACAACTATTCATGTTTCAGGTCTTATCAACAGTTAATTGACTTTATCTTTTGGACCTTTTTCAGATTGCAGACCTAACTGTAAGGTAAGCAGAAAACTAAAAATAAATAAATAAAGCAACCTATCTAATTTTTTCTCCCCCCTATCCCTGCACCTCTTCCTTCCCAACTGTTTTGTTTTATTTTCTAATTCAGATACTGTTCAACCTTAATGATTAGCCTTTCTTTTTCTATCCCCCTTCCTGTCTTCTCCTTCCCCAGTTTGTATCAACTGGCAGAGATACAGCATGTGTGAAAGCTCTAAGAGATATTGAACCTGGAGAAGAAATCTCTTGTTATTATGGAGATGGCTTTTTTGGAGAGAATAATGAATACTGCGAATGTTACACCTGTGAAAGGTATACACTGATGTAAATAAGTTTCAGGTGGAATTGGGCATATTCATCATATCTTTTTTTTTTTTTGTGAAGCTGAAGGTACTTGATTATGAGCAGTCAAACTTTCTGAAATATTATCATTGCTTCCTAATTATCCATTTCAATGACCCTTTAAGTTGGTACTGAATAGTCAAACTCTTTTTCCCCTTCTCTGTCCTGTAAGCAGCCCAAACAACAAAGATTCTTGCACGTGTTTGTACTGCATAAAGGAATAAAGTGGAATTTGCAAAGAAAAGACTAGAGAGCAGTTACAGACAGCAGACAGTTAGCATCTAACTCCCAACTCCTGCTCTTATTTCTACCAGTAAAAGTAAATTTCATTGATGTTTTTTGTGTTGTCCTGATGGGACTAGACAAAGTAGTTTTTACCATATGTGATTAGAACTTGAGAGTTTATGTATTTCTGAAGATCTACTGGTTTTGGACAGTATCTGGCTATATCTGTCCATTGCACAATAACAGGAAACTTGTTTCTTTGTTTTTCACCTGTGTCATCCCAACCTAGCTTCTTCATAATGTTATTTGGAAGAATTTCATAATCTTTTTCTGAGCTGTTGCAACTTCTGTTACTGTAAGCATAAACAGAGGTTTGGTATCATTTGTGAATCACCTAATTCTCTATTTTAGCAGAAGGAGCTGCAGAGAGCCTATGACAACTCTGTTTGAGCTAACTATAGAAGGAAGAAAGGTACAAAGGACAAAGTATTAATCATATTTAGAAATAGCTTAATACACCCTCATAAAGTTCAGTAATCCTACCTTCAATTTTATTAGCTAGTTTGGTCACTAAACAATTCCAGCAGTTGAAGAGAAAATCTTTTGGTGTGGACCTCCAAGCTCGTATGTTCTTGACAGGTCAAAGAAAAGACTATAGCCTCTATAGGCTCTAGATGGCTACTAGTAAAAATGTATTCCACTTCTGGGAGCTGTTAAGTATTGAATAAATGCTTAGGCAGCATTGTCATTTGTTTCTTACTACTTATTAGCAATGACGTCTGGATTGATAGGTTTTATCCTTGCTCAAGTTTCTTTCACTGTGGCTTTTAATGTAATGGGAACATACTTCCTCTTTCAGGGCAGACTAGTTCCATGTGTCAGAATGTTTTCAGTAACTTTGTGTTTTCATGTACTTTAAAACTTGTATCATCTTCACATTGTAAAACTTAACACTTGTGTAAATCTTAATTATAAGGATCTGTAGGCTGTGCTACAACAGTCAAATAGGAGAGATTTGAAGGGAGGGGGGTTGAGCAAGGGAAAATGTGTCTTTAGCAGAACTCGGGAGCCACCTTAATAGATGCCTGTAGTATGAGAAATGAAATAGGTAGACAAGCCACCTGATGTTGTGTACAGCACCAAAATTAATTTTTAAGTGGCACAATTATGACTGTGCTGTAAAGAGGGTTAATTTGTAATGTTAAAATGTTAGACTTCTGAGAGCCCTTTGGGTATGTTTGGGGGGCGCGGACAAAAAGGTAATCCTATACATACCTCCCCCCCACCCCAAAATCATTACCTATAAAACGTGCCTGTCTTCGCATATGTGCATGTACGCTGCTAGGTGAGTATGTTGGTTCATGCTGACTAACTGGGATAACTGGGCACCAAATAAGACAGACGTATCAGAAGACTGTTCTGGCTGTCTATGGCACTATTCATGTCTGGTCTGAAGTAGCTGTTGTTTGTGCTAAGTTCAGTCTAGTATCTTATTTTAGCTGCCTGTAATTTGCAGAACTCGAAATAATACTGAAAGAATGTTCCATATCAAACATCAGTTAATTTGAGGAAAAATACTGTGCCTGTCTAATAACGTTTAACCCTGAAGAGCTTGAGATCCTCTCTGGTCTCTTTCTGGTGCACTTGCGGTGAAGTTTTGGAGATTTTCTTCCAGTGCAACATGCTGGAATCCAAAAAGAAGTTTTAATATTAATTTTGTGAAGTGCAAACCTACTGAACAATGAAGGGTACGAGAGGGATCCTTGCAGTGGTGGCTGAGGTGCAAGTGCAAGAATTCTGAAAAAATTCTTACCTCCGTCCTTTTCCATGATCACTTTTGGAGTGGGGGGGCTGGAGAGGGAGTTCTAGGCTTACTCAGCCACTTAAGTTTCATGATAAATACATTGCTGGAGTCCTTCAGTTCCAAAGGAAGACAAACCCTAGATGATAAAATAGAATAAAATTATGTAATTTATAACTCTTGCTGATGCAGTAACAAGCATTATAACTGGAGTTGGTACTTTTTTACTAAACATATGTGATTAGTAGAAAAATAATCCTTTTATGTTGTTACCCAAGATAATACCAAATAGTATTTTGAACTACTGTATTTCATTTTCACCTATGTAATTTGATTATGAAATGATCCTAAAATAGAAAAAAAGCAAGGGGGGAGGAAAACACTTTTGCAGTTCTCTCCAGTAATAAATGGGAGGTTTTTCTGCACATCTTACTGAAATGACATACCTATGTAGGTATCTAATTGAAACAGCCCACAAAACGCAAATAAATTCAGTAGTTATTGGCATTGTTTATCTAAATATACCTGGGATTGTATGTGAAACAAAGTTCTAATTTTATGTTAGTAATTATTAACATATGGTATCTTTCTTTTTTTGTAGACGTGGAACTGGTGCTTTTAAATCAAGAGTGGGATTACCAGCACCTACTCCTGTGATTAACAGTAAATATGGACTGAGAGAAACAGATAAACGATTGAACAGACTTAAAAAGTTGGGTGACAGCAGCAAAAATTCAGACAGCCAATCCGTCAGCTCTAACACTGATGCAGATACCACTCAGGAAAAAGCTAATGCAAGTAAGCAAGGGGAAAACTTGGAGTGCAGGATTAAAAGTCTCATAAAAACATCCACTGTGGTGGATTTGCTCTCTTAGTGTTGAGATGCATCTCAAATACTTCTGGTTTTTTACATCAGTAACGTATTCTAGAATCTGAAACTAATTTATGTAGCAAATGACCAGTTTTCCTGAGGTACTTCAAGAACACAAGGTGATATTTTCTTTTTTGTGTATTTATATCAAACTAATCATAGTGTCATGTTTCTAAACATGCCAGTAGTAAGATATCCATTGATAATGGGGGAAGGCAGAGTGAGGGGAGTATATCTGGAATTTAGATGTACTTTGGGTTTGTTTGACAATTCCATTTAGGTCTGAGCTGCAAGTTGAACAGTCTTTCTGCTTCTGAATACCATCTAGCCTGTTTTGCACATTTCGATTAAGAGCATTAAAATAACTACTGTATTGGGTGGGGGGGAAACCTCAGTTTAAATCAGTGTCATAACACAGTCTTTGTGGGTTTTTTTTTTTTTCCCCCACCCACAGCTAACAGAAAATCTTCAATTGGTGTAAAAAAGAACAGCAAGAGTAGGACAATAACAAGACAGTCTATATCAAGAATTCCAGCATCATCAAATTCTACCTCATCTAAACTAACTCATATAAATAATTCCAGGGTACCAAAGAGACTGAAAAAGCCTGCAAAGCCTTTACTTTCAAAGATAAAGTTGAGAAATCAGTGCAAAAGGCCAGAGCAAAAGAATGCTTCTAGAAAGCTTGAAATGGGAAATTTAGTTCTCAAAGAGCCTAAAGTAGTTCTGTATAAAAACTTGCCCATTAAAAAAGATAAAGAATTGGAGGGACCAGTCAAAGTTGCAGTCTCTAGTGGATGCTTAACAAGGCATGCAGCAAGAGAATATAAACTGAATTCTGTGAAAGGTGCTCATGAGCATGGTGATATACCACCCTGCACATATATAACAAGGAGGTCAATGAGAACAAGGATGAATTTGAAGGAGACCTCCGACATAAAGCTTGAACCAAATATGTTGGATAGCTATAAAAATAATTTGCCCGGAACACGATCGGACGTTTTAGAGCAGCAGTCTCATGCGATAAATGAAAATGACTTGGCTCATGGAACATCACATAAAGGGGAGGTGAGGTGCCAGAAAAATGATGCAGGCATGTCAAAAAAGAAATCTCGACAAGGAAAACTTGTGAAACCATCTGCAAAAACAGAAGAAACTGATCTTACGCACAATACACCTGTTGAAGATGAAGTACCGGATTTGATCAGCTCTCATTCAGAACATGGAGAAAGAAATAATGTAGCAGACACACCTGTTGGCTATAAAGACTGTATCCCTGGATCTGGTGGCTGTTCTGTTGTAACATCTGACAATTTTAAAGCAAAGGACAGCTTTAGAACTGCAAAAAGTAAAAAGAAAAGACGAATCACGAGGTATGATGCACAATTAATCCTTGAAAATAGCTCTGGGATCCCTAAACTGACTCTTCGTAGACGCCATGATAGCAGTAGCAAGGCAAATGACCAAGAAAATGATGGAATGAATTCTTCAAAAATAAGCATCAAATTAAGTAAAGACCATGAAAAAGATAATAATTTATATGTAGCAAAGCTAAATAATGGGTTTAACTCAGGATCAGGCAATAGTTCAACAAAATTGAAGATACAGCTAAAACGAGAGGAAGAAAACAAAGGGACGTACCCTGAGGACCTTCATGAAAATGGTATGTGTTGTAGTGAAACACTCTCCCTTTTGGAGTCAAGAATGGAAGTAGATGATTACGGTCACTATGAAGAGGAAACAGCAGATGAATCTTCATCAGAAGAGGATGATGAAGAGGAGGATGACTATGATGATGAATTTGATGACTTTATTCCTCTTCCTCCAGCAAAGAGATTAAGGCTCATTGTTGGCAAGGATTCAATAGATATTGATATTTCTTCCAGGAGGAGAGAAGATCAGTCTTTAAGGCTCAATGCATAAGCTTATAGGTCTTAAACTGACCAGGATGTCATTTTTAAAAAAATAAAAATAAAAAACAACAAAAATTCCATTTGATTATTCCTCAACTGAAGAACTTTCTGAAAAACTTAGTGGCAGCACTTCTTTATTGTTTATTCACCTATCAACGTAATATTGTAGAAAGTGTACAGCATACCGACTCTTCTTAAGTCTGATTTGTGCAAATTTTTATTGTACTTTTTAATAGCCTTCTTATGTGCAATTCTGAGTTAGAGTAAGAGGTAATGCTCTGTTGTAAAATAAAGGCTCAAGCAAAGTTATGAAGTTGCATCAAATCTTTCCATGCAGGACAATGAGAATACAGTGTGGCTACACAATTATTTTCGATCTGTAAGAGCATTAGTTTGCTCTTGCAATATTTGACTAAACAATAAAACAAAAAAAATCATAGTAGCAGCATATTAAGGTTTTCTAGTATATGTTAATATCACCAGCAATGATCTACAGCTTTTCGATTTATTTGCTAGATGTTTTTCCCCCTTGGAGTTTGTCAGTTTTAACACTGTATGCTGTCCCAGACGTACTGTTTGTGGCCTTTGTTATAGTAGCAAACCGTTGGTTGGAAGTCAAATTGATTTCTTTAAAAAAAAGAAAAAAAATTAAAAGGTGTTGACAATTTGCTGACTTTTTAGTACATTATATGTACAAGGGTAGCAGTATGCAGAATAAAAGTTTGGATATGGTGTATTTATTGCTTGTTATGTAAATTAAACACCTTGTATTTAACACTTTTCAATACTTTTAGATAAAATTGTTCTTTGCAAGAATGATTGGTGCTTATTTTTTCAAGAATTTGCTGTGAAACAATGTGATTACAACGGGCAACATTTATCCAATGAACTGCAGCTATCCTAAATTGGTTCTTCATATTTTTCTGTTGCACTTGTAAAATGCTACAAGGAATTTAAAGAAAATCTATTCACTTTAACTTATGATAGTTTTATGAAATTTAAAAAAAAAACAACTAAGTCACAGCTTTTGTTCTGTGGTAACCTATAAAAATGTTTGTCTTTTAAGAACCAGTTGTAAAAGACTGAAAAAATATGTATATGTTGTAAATATTTGTGTGTTGTGAGAAATTTTGTCATAAGAAATTGAGATAACTTGCCAGAAGGGTTTTTAAGTTTAGAAATACATTCATGCCAATAAAATAGGAAATTGTAAACCTAGTTTTAAACTCTGCATCAGTTGGAGTTCTTTTGCTCTTAACGTAGTTCACTTGATACTTCAGAGTCTACTTTATAACAACAGCTTCAGGGCAATCTTTGGCTCTTTTTGATAAAAGAACGTTAGGAAAATTTATTTCTTCTGGGGAGAAATGAACTTGTTCATATGTATAAATCATAACTGACTAACAGATAAGCTGTTTCTCTGAAACAGGTCTAAACTGTCTTCGACTAAAATGATTGTCATAATTGTATAGCACTTTGGAGCATGGTATTTACCCGTTTTTACTAAACCATGTATTAAGGTTTAGAGTGTTTGTATATAGGGGTGTGGAAACGAAAGTCACATCAGAAAGCAAGTGCTGCTGGATCAGTTTATTCCCCTTGAAATATTTAGCTGCGCGGTATTTTCATGTCAAGTCCAACCCTTTCTGTGCAGCAGAGCAAGCACATGTTGTGTTGCATGACGACTGCCTTACCCAGGTTTGAAAGCAGTTGCATGGGAGCTGATCATAATGGTTAAGCCATCTCTGACCTTCAAAGAAATGAAGGATTTTTCAAATAATTCCTTTCAGAATACGTTTCAGTAACGTGTTTGGCTGCAAATCAAACGGTGGAATCTTCTGCTTTCCTCTCGTTTCCCTTCTCATAGTGGAGAATGAAGTGCAGAATTAAACATAATACTTGTAACTTGGTTTTATAATGTCCCTTCTTTGTTAAAGGACAGCTGTGTATCTCATGTACAGAGGGGTATAGAAGATGGGTGGGTCTGTATATAGTGCACAGCCTCTCCTGTCAGACGTGGGCTTTTTAGTTCGTGGAAGACTGAGCACAAATGCTTTGGTAAGTATGCTGCCGTTCTTGAATACCGAGTCAGCTACAGTGAATCGTCTTGCGGGATTTTTAGGCTTACTGTATCATATAAAAGTGGGTTATTAATGATCGGGTTACAGCAAAAATAGCTGGCTTATTTAAGGGTTTACTTCATGCTAGAAAGTTTACCAGCAAACAGTTATGACAAATAACACTAGTACAGCTATTTCAGCAAGAACTCGTTCATGTTTTATCTGGGTGCTGCCGATTCCCCTCTTTCACCCCCATAATCAGTTATCTGTGCTGCTGTTTTGAGTCTCTCTGCTCCCGCCGCTTGGCTGCTTGCGGACTTGTGCTGAATGGGGCCGTGACAACCTTGGCGTTTCTAGCGTGGGGCAGAATCGTAAATCAGCGGGGCGATTGAGGAAAGGGGGATGATGCAGCAAGGAGGCGTTGCCAGCTGTTGTCGGTATTTATCGACCAAGTATGCTCAATAGCAGGTTTAGAGCTTGCTAAATAAGTATCAAGTGATGAAAGCAGATCGTGAAACAGGTGTGAGAAAGTCACAAGAGACTGCTGCCCTCAGAGGTGGAAACTTTTTCTGGAGTTGATGTTCCTACCAGCTCAGCCTTGTACTTCAGCCAACCCCTAAAGGAGCTGGGTTTTTGTTTGGTTGTGTGTGTGGTGTGTTTTTGTGTTTTGTTTTGGTTTTTTTCTTCCTCCCCAGAAAGAAGTACAAATAGTTCTTTAGACATCAGAAACTCTAGATTGTTCTTGTTCAATGAACAATCTAAAGTGTCTTGTTTTGGAGAATTTGGAGCAAACGCGGTCAGTCATCTCCTGGGTAGGCAGGTCAGCCAGACGTGTCCTGCTGTGCAGATTTCAGCATTACAAATGGCCTTAGGAATAGAAAGTTGATTAAATTTAAATGCTTTCCCCAAGTTGATCAGGTAGGAGGGTATTGTACAACCCCAGTGTTTTCTGTCCTTCCCCAGCCACAGAAAACAGAGCGATTTTTTTCTTCTTCATTTGTGCATTGGCAGATCACAGTGTTTCCCTAACTTCAGTAGTTGGGGAAGGTGAACAGTGTTTGCGGCACACACGTGAGAGCTTGCCAGGCTGCAAGCAGGGCTGTTTCTCGCTGTCCTATTCAGATCACAAAGTACTGTAATGCTATAGCAATTTGACTCTCAGGGACCCTGTCTAGCCTTTGTGGCTTTATTTCTCAAGGTACTGGGAAGAAAAGATGCAACAGCTGAGTGGGTTTAGAGTGACCACACAGCACATCTTTAGCAGGTTGGAGAACCGGAGGAGATGTGTTACAGACTGGCTTTGTCAGCTAAATAGCTTCGTTGGTGTTACGCATAAAGAGGTGATGAGGCTAAGGAGAAATTGTTACCCCTTGGAGGTGGGCAGGTTGGCTGCTGCTCTGTGAGCATCCTGGCACTCGCCATGTGCACAGAGATGCCGTATAGTTGAGGACAGGTTTAGCAAGAGCTTTTGAGTGTTTGTGGTAACAGGTATAACTTTGCACGTATAACTTAGCTAGCTTGCACCTTTGGTAAAGAGTTCATAGGGAAGGGAGCAAAGGTGCTTTGCAAGACAGAGGCAAACACTTTTCATGAAGTACAATTTTATGGAATTACAAATGGTATTGTATAGCACAGTGAGATTATTAGGGAAGAGGGAGCACTCCTAAGCTGCCTGTTCAAGAGGAGGCTTGCATAGTTTTACTGTGCAGTAAAGACACTGTAAAATACATTACAGGCAGTTTGATCTGGTTGGATAGTATTCGTGCAGATCCCTGAGGGACAGGAAAGACAGTTACTCAGTTTGGTTCTGTCTGCCTTGCGCAGGGCAGGCTACCCTTTCCCATGCTTTTTGGAGTGCTGTGGAAAGCTAGTCTGTTTTTGAGAGGAAAGAGAGATGTGAGAATCAAGCTCTTCTTGCTTCAGAGGTTCAGGGTTTCCCTAGTCTGGAAAATTGTTTGTGCCAAGAAGAACCAACGTTTCTGCAAACAGCAGAAGCTTATGATTGTCAGATGTTACTATAAAGCATCCAAAACGAGTCCCTCTCTGAGCTAATCAAGCAAGCTCTATTTCTACCTCTTCTCTAACTCTAGCTATACCATGCAAGCAATAGGTATTAAACTTGAAAAAAAATGTATTCAATAGAATAAAATTGCTATGAATTCTCTGCAAGATTAATATGAATGTGCTGTTACTGGTTTGGTTACAAATACTTCCCCCCCCCACACACACCCAGTGTATTTGTTAGTACTTAATTGTACTAAGTCTCTGTATGTACTTTGAACGCTGAGGTATTAGTTTGCATGTAGCTTACAGTCAATCAGAGCGTTATTCAGCTGTCTGCAATGCATTGGTTTTATTCAGTTATGCTGCCTATGTGTTATACACTGCGTGTTGAATGCATCCAAGATACTCCCAGAGGTATGTGTTTGGGTCTGCTTTTGGCTCCTTTTTCCTAGTTTCTTTCTGTCAGTTTTGCCTAGTACTGCCAGCGCATGCTCTTAAAATAAACTTTAAAACAGAATTGTTCCCCATCTGCGTATGGTCGACTGCCCTTTTTAGAATGAAAGGAGGAAAGTTTGGGAGCCATGCAGAATAAGACTGACTAAAAATGAAAAGTGAAGTCATTTACACATGTGTTTTATCTGCTAGCGTTATGTGCTTTCCTAAATCCCCTTCCCCAGTGAGCATTCTGTCTGGGTTGGGCTGGGTCATAAATAAAACCTACAGCATTTAGCCTTGTATAATCTCTGTTGCCCCTTTACCAAACTCTGCTTCCAAAGTTCACAGAATCACCGAGTGGTAGAGGTTGGCAGGGCTGTGTGGAGATTGCCTGGTCCGACCCCCCCCTGCTCAACCAGGGTCACCTAGAGCAGGCTGCCCAGGACTGTGTTGAGCTGAGTTTTGATTATCTCCAGGGATGGAGACTCACAACCTCTCTGGGCAACCTGCTCCAGTGTTCACCCGCTCTCACTGTGGAAGTGTTTTCTTACATCTTTAGGTTTTCTTTCTGTTATGTTTGTTCTTATGTCTTCTTGCCTTTTTTTCTGTTGTCTTACGTTTGGTTGGAAGTTAGCAAGGTTCTGGTCGGTTCTCTTCGTTTAGCATCATTTAACGGGATTAATGCTAGATATTTAATAGCTGTTCGTTGCCTGTTGCAGCTACTTCTTTCTTTGTCCACTGAGGGATCTTCTGTTCTAGTCATGCTTGAGTTATATAGCTTGTTTATACTAATCCCATAAGATATTTTTACTAT